CAAAATAAGCAGGAGTGGCATCAAGTATCTACTCACCGACAACATGAAAATACTGCGTACAGACTGTCAGTCTTCCAGGAATGCACATAAATGACAAGGCGGGCAGAAGGTGTTGATAAGCATTTAACCTGAGGTTCCCGACTGAAAGTTCGACACTTAGCCCTCAGGTACTTTACGTTCGTACGGTTGCTTAAAACGATGGTACAAAATTGTATTCGCAGTTAGGAAAGCGATGCGTCGCAGAGCAGCCTCACACTTCGTAAAACGGTTTCGTGCAGGAATTCAGTCCAAAAATATATCCTGCTAATCTCCAGTCTTGTCGATACTAGCTAATAAACACGAAAGATCATTTTGCGCTCACACTACTTCCAGAGTTACCGTACCAAAGAGATATAGCACTCACGAAGGTGATACTGTTTTTTTAACGAAAGGGGCAGTTGTTGGGGTAAAGGACGAATTAACCAAGAGAAAATCAAGATCCCTGTGCTACTCCGCAGGTGATGAGGCGAGCTGCTGAACTGCTACAGTTTATTTTATTACACAGCAAAATCTTGTAGCCTCAAATAGTAAGAATTGAACACCCTTACGATAACTGAATCGACCACCGACAGATAATAACCGTTATAACGATGGTTCACGAGGAACATGCCGTATGCAAGGATGTAGTGTAAAAAAACAACGTGAACAAGCGAACATCATGTGCTAATGCATAACTAGTTGACGGCTAGTTTTCACAACGAATAGTACAGCCCCCTCTATGGATCGATTGAAACAGGGTGCAGGGTATTTGAGTCTATACAGTGCACATATGTCATATAATTTTGTTCGCTAGAACTTCATCATGCTCGTCCCGTACGAGGTTTCAACAGCTGATACTCACTGTGTATTTTACCGCATCCATATGTTATAATCATCCAGATCTGGTCGTACACCGTAGTAGGTCAATATCATATGTTGAGTTTGTTTGCTATAAAATTAGCCACGACAGACAGCGAATCAGCAGTACTGCGGATTCTCATATAACCGAATAGCCATGGGTGTTCTTTTTAACACCGCTTGCAAATGTAGTAGAACAATCGTCTGAAAGCATGCCAAAGTTATAGCAAAGCAACCACGACATTGCATCTTCAGTCAGCTGGAAACTATTGATTCAGATTTTGGCGGAATCGATGAACTATACAGGATCTGCCATTCCTCAAATACAAAGCCTATACATAAAAGCAACACGAGTGAACGTGCAGAAAAATAGGGAAGCTGGTCGACAATCACCGAAACTTCGTGTTGGTGAGGTACTGTAGATGTTCATGATTTTAAATATATCAACTCGTTTTCGCCTGAAATGCAGTTACGTTACATCCACGGAAACTCTTAAATTATCTGACAACATTAGGATGCGGTTTCCAGTTTTTTTCGAACTGCATGATATGCGCTATCTTTGGCGCGAGT